AAGACATTATATCTTTTAAAACTCATTCATAATCAAAGGACAAAGAAAAACTTTTGATGATGAAAACAAATTTAAGGAATATGTGATGACTAAACCATCTCTACAGAGCATACTGGAAGGAATAAATTTGGTCTGAAAACAAAGTTGAATACAGGGTATAAACAGTTCCAGAACAGTTAATTAAAAGAGGTCTAAGAAAACACTGCCACCATAACCAAATAACCAGAATTAGCACACATTGTTGTTAACTCAATAATCTCAATTTTCCAATAGACTCAGACTGAGAAATTTGATTAGAAAACAGGTTCTATCTTATTGCTGCTTCCAAAACATACCATACCATCAAAATAGACACCACCTTAGAGGAGAACAGAACAAGATATTCCAAGTAAATGGACCCAAAGAAAAAGCAGGCATACCTATTCTAATATCTGACAAAATGGACTTAAAACCAAAACTAGTCAGAAGAGACAAGGAAGGACACTTTGTGTGCATTAAAGAAGAAATTCACAAAAAAGACATTACAATTCTAAACATGCACCAAACACAGGGGTACCCAGCTTCATAAAAGAAAACACTATTAGACTAAGAACCACAGATTGACTCCAACACAGTGATAGTGGTTGACTTCAGTAACCCACTCTTACAAGTAGACAGGTCATCCAGACAAAAACTAGAGAAACTCTGTAATTAAATGACATCATAAATCAAATGGTCTAATAAATGTGTACTGAACATTACATCCAAAGTCTATATAGTATTCATTCTTCTCAGAAGCCCATGGAACTTTCTCCAAAATTGATCAGATATTAGAACACAAAGCAAGTTTCAACAAGTGTAGGAAATAGAAATTACATCCTCCCTGTCTTACCACCATGGAATAAAGGTGGATATCAATAGCAACAGAAAGTATACAAACCCATGGAAATGAAAGAATGCAGTATATAAAAATTGGGTTATGGAAGAAATAAAATAATAAGAAAATTAAAACACTCCTAGAATTGAGTGAAAACATAGACACCCCAGAGCAAAATCTATGGAACACAATGAAGACAGTCCTAAGAGGAACATATGTAGCACTAACTGCCTATACTTGCACCATTATTAGGGCCAAGAACCTGTGCCTAAAGAGGTCACATGAGCCTACTATTATTCTGCTAAATGGACATTGATGATTAATAGCTACTGGAAGATAGTTTTAAGGATGTGATGCCAGGTAGGGTGACCTCCCTTCCTTGTCCCCAGGAATGCTTTTAGACTCAATAGCCTTGAAAAAACAGAGGACATGGAAAGAGGGCCTGTGGGAGGTGGTATCTGAGAGGAGATGGTTTGAATATAATTAAAATACATTCTATGAAATTCTCAAAAAGTCAATAAAAATATTTTATAAAACAGAAGATCAAATTATGGCCCTATTAGGAGGAATTTGAGAAGAACAAAGAGTTGTTGGTTAGAGAGTACAAACTTTGAGTAATACTACAATAAGTTTTAGAGATCTAAGATACAGATGCTGTCTGTTGTTAATAATAGTATGCTTGCATTTTGCTAATACAGTAGATCTCAGTTGCCCCCACTGGAAGCAAACAAAAGTGGTAACCATTTGTAATGATAGGTATACTAAGTAGCTTGGTTGTTATTTCACAATGTGTATACATTAAGTCAATTTGTACACCTCAGAAATACACAAGTTTTCATTTGTTACTTATACCTCAGTAATGTCCAAAATAGCAGAAAAAAAAAACAGTTTTTACTGAAAAAAATAGATTGTCTAATCAAACTAGATGACCTATTTAGCTTGTTTTCCTATTTCTGCTATAACAAATCATAGATAGTTAATACTCATAATTATCTTATATTGATAGTGGGGTGATATGTTTGAAATGTGGGGCTGGAGAAATGGCTGTGTTGAACAGCCAGTATTGCTCTTGCACAAGACCCAGGTTCAGTTCCTAGCACCTATGTTGGATGACTTACAGCTGCCTATAACTCCAGCTCCACAGAATCTGATACTTCTGGCCTCCATGGGCACTCACATACACATGTGCATATCCACATGCAGACACATACACATGCACACACACACAACTGAAAATAAATCTTTTTAAAAAGAAGTCTCAAATGTCTTGCTGTGCTGAGGGTAAAAGTGTTAGCATGTTGCTGCTCTCCATTTGAAGTCTTTACATGGGAATTTGACCTTACCTTCCTTTTGCCCATTTCTACAGTGACATTCTTTGCATTCCTTTACTTATGACCCATTTCTGACATTAGTGCTAACAATATAGCATCTTCATTTCTTTGCTTGTCTTCTTTATATATTTCTCCCTGGTACCAGGTGACTCCTTTATAATAAAGACCCTCATAATTATATTGAGTCTACTTGGATAACCAATATCTCCCCCACATTATGATTTTAAAACCACATTTACAAAATTTCTTTTGTTGTGTCACATGACAGCACAGTCTTACAGTGTGATCCCTCCCTTTTATATGTGCTTTCAACATGATACCATCTGCCATGTTGTAGTAAAGTCAGGCAACACTCACCAGAGCAGAGTAGAAGGTGACACCATGTTCTTGACTCTTGAGAGTTTTAAGCTAAATCAACCATTCTTTAAATGCTGTGTAGCCGCAAATATTCGTAGTAATGGAAATGGACTAATACAGTCACACATTGCCGATGAGAATGTAAATGTTACAGCCACTCTGGGAAACCATTTGCTATTTTATTTAAATAGAAAACATGCAGGTACCATTAGACTCAGCATTGTGCTCCTAAGCTTTTTTTGCAGAGGAATGACAACTAATGTTCATGCACAGAAAAATCTCTATACAAGTTTATAGAAACTTTGTTCATAATGTACCAAAACTACAAACAATCTGGGTACCTTCAATGGGAAAGCAGTTAAATTATAGCACTTACTTTAAAAATGCTAAGTATGTAGAATTTACTTTGAGTATAGTATCATTAGGCAATAAAAAGTAGTTAGCCAAGACTTATAACTATAATCCCAGCACTGGGGAAGCTAAGGCAAGATCACTTGTTTGAGGCTAACCTGGGGTACAGAGTAAGATCCTGTGTTCCAGAACTTCCAGATATTCATGATATTGTGCTGAGGAAAAAAAAAGCTGGGAACTGGAGAGGCGGCTCAGCACTTAAGCGCACTTGCTGCTCTCACAGAGGACCTGGGTTCGATTCCTAGCACCCACATGGCAGCTAACTACCATCTGTAACCCTAGTTCTCAGGAAATCCAGTGCCCTCTTCTGACCTCCATAGGCATTGCACGACACAGTTGCACTTACACACATGCAGGTAATACAGTTATACGCATAAAAATTTAAAAAGTAAATAAAATATCTTTTAAAAGCCTATCCCAGGACAGTCCCTGTAACAATATTAAGATAAAAATTTGTATAAATCAATAACTTATTAGTGTTTTCCAAGGAAATATTCTGTATCTCTTAATGTATCAATATCACAGTTTTGATTGTGACATTGTACTATAGAAAGTCCCCACCCTTTAGTGGTTTGATGGGCAGTGTTTCAGCTTTTGGTCATGGGAAAGTGATGTGCTTTCAAATCTTTTCTTGCATTCATGATTAATCTGTCATGATGGTGGGCAGCAACAGTGAACCCAGGCTCTCAGTTAGATGTGTGATCAAGGCTTTGTCTTGCTAAGCCATCATGTTTTGTAGGGTAGGGTGTTAAATGCCTTTTCAGTTTATTTTCAACTTCAGATGAGTTTTTCAGGATATAACCCCATCTATCATAACTCAAGGAACAACTATCAGTTTGTCTCTTTTCTATCATCTATCTTCCTGTATATCTGTCATCTGTTGTTTAAAGATTTATTTATTTTTATTTATGTGTATGAGTATTTTGCTTGCATACACACATACATGTATGTGCACCATTTGTTTGCAGTGCCCTTGGAGGCCAGAAGAGGGCCTTGAATCCTCTGGACCTTCAATTAAACACAGGTGTGAGCAGCCATGTGGATGCTGGGAACTTAACGTAGGGTTCTCTGCAAGAGAAGCAAGAGCTCTTAACTGCTGAACCATCTCTCTAGTCCTACATCTATGTATTATACTATAGCTTAACAAAATGTTTCCATTGGGGAAACTGACCCAAAATTACCTCTGATTATTTCCTACAATTTCATGTGAATATAAAGCCATCTCAAAATTAGAAAAAAAAAGATAAACATTTAAAAAAGCATATATTGAAAAAAAAACATACATTGTAACTGACGCCACACTTGAGGGGCAATATATACCCTTATTGCATATAGTATTCAAGGAGAAAGTGTAGAAAAAGCAGAGCAAATTCAACCCCAGAAAAGAGAGGAAGTAGAGCTCAAGCAATTAAACATCAGCATAAAAATTAGGAAAAACTACAAGGATAAAAATGTAGGCTGTTATAAAAGATGAATAAAGTACATAAATCTTTTTCAAAGTTGGTCAAGGGGAAAAAATGAGTGCTGGTATTTGAGAAAGCAACTGAATTTTCTTTTCAGTGTTCTTTGTAGGAATTAGTATATTCTCTTATTCTAATGATTATTGTATTATATGATGTTTTCTAGGTAAATGGTCAATTCTCTGCTAATAGTAATAGTGTCACATGTTGTATTTTGGCCTTTACATTTTCCTTATATCCTGCTGACCAGAACTTTTAGCGGTGATAGTGAGCAGCCTTGTTACTGAACTTAATGTAGTGCTTACTTTGTTTCGCCATAAAAAATGGTAATTACTGTAGATGTCTGATATGTTTTTATCAAAAAAACTTCACATTTCTAATTTGCCAAGTTTTTTTTTTTAAATCATGTATGGTTATTAAATTTACTAAATGAATTTCAGTATCTGATTTTTTTCTTTCCTCTTTCTCTTACATTGATAAATTTTACAGTTATAAAAACTTTAATTTTATTTAATTTTAAGCCACTATCGATTTTAGGTAGAATAATGTAAGAGAGCATTTTTAAAAGCTTATTTTCCATTGCAGAACCACATTTCCAATGGAGATAGAGGTGACACTCTAGTAAACTCAATGGATGACCAAAGGTAAAAGTATTGCCAGATGCACAGTACTTTTTAAATTATATTATCATTGAAAGAATTCTTTTGGTGTTAAGAGTGTTTATGGTCTGCTGTAGTTAGTCATAAATGACTTGCTCTTAAATTGATAAGAAAAATATTAACAGAGTCACCAAGAGTGGTTTATAATGGGTAATGGTTTTGCCTGTTCCCTATTATTATTTGTTATAGTAAGCAAAACCTGTGAACTGTGAGGCTGCTGTAGGTGGAGGCCAAAGATACTATTAAACATCCTACAATGCTCAAACCTTTCCTACCCCTCCCTCATAATAAAGAATTTTTTTGGTTCAAATTATTGTGTTAAGATTAGAAACCACTGCTATCCTCAGGCCTCTTGGGGTAAGTCTATAGCGCAGCGCTCCGCGCCGGGGGAGGCTGCTGAGGCCAAAGATACTATTAAACATCCTACAATGCTCAAACCTTTCCTACCCCTCCCTCATAATAAAGAATTTTTTTGGTTCAAATTATTGTGTTAAGATTAGAAACCACTGCTATCCTCAGGCCTCTTGGGGTAAGTCTATAGCGCAGCGCTCCGCGCCGGGACTCCCTAAGCCTCATTCACCCTTCCACCCCACCCCCCACCCCCCTGCCTCCCCGCTCGCCGTTC